CATATTGAGGTTGGGCCCTCCTTCGCCCAGCAGCAGAGCCTCGAGCAGGAAGCACAGAGTGGTGACTTTACTGATGTCCACCTGGAGAATCACCTTTGTGCAATGCTTCAAAACAAAATTAGACTGTGTGCCTCAAGCTCCAAACAAATGTAATAATTGAAATGATCTTATTTTCATCAAAGAAAAAGAGAAACATCACAAACACAATAACTTTAATGTTGGATGGAAATGGATTCCATGCATATAATGTTGGTCCTCTGTTGCTTTATTTTAAGTTGAGATCAAAAGTAGAGGATGGTTTTATCCAGATCAGACTCCAGCACGTTCAGATATGCTGATGATTGTTCCTCTCATCACTGGCTCCACCTCCAGCACTAACGGCTCATCTGCTCATGAAAAGCTCCTCATTAACCTGTGGTGCACACCCTCTAATGTCCTATTGTCCGGACAGCACTTATATCCAGGGCTGACCTCTGCAGGTCCACATCTGCACTCAGTACCACTGTTGACAGCACAACTCTGAGCTTAGACCCTCCAACCAAGAAGATGCAGGAGAACAAGACCCAGAAGTTTGGAGCTGAGCTGCATCAGCGAGGTTTGTTCAGGAAGAGCACCACCTACCTGGCTAAGATCGCTGTCATCCTCCAAGGTGCTCCAGGCAAGATGCTCACTTTCACTCAGGTAAGAAACCAGCATCGATCATGGAGTGTTGTAATGTGAAACACCAATTGTCTCTTCAAAGCTGAACTTGAACCTGATGTTTTGCAGTTGATGGACAAGCTGGCACCACTCATCTGTGAAGACAGAAAATCCGTTGAGAACAACATCAGAGTCTGTTTGTCAACCCACACATGTTTTGTCAAGGTACGTGTTTATTCCAGAATAATAAGTATTTGAATAATGTTATCAAGTGAAAGAATCACTCCTGTCTGTGAAAACGATTGACTCAGTTGTGTTGTGTTTTCAGATTCCTGTGATCCCAGATTCATTCCACAGTAAGAGGAACTACTGGAAACTGGACTCCAGTCAGATCACAGCAAAGATGGTGCGTCGTCACTTTAAAGGAATCCTGCAGCTCTTCCCTGAGTTGGCCTGCAAAGTGGAAACAGAGGACAAGAGCAGCAGAGCTTTCAAGCACTGCTCAGATCTCCACTCTCCTGAAGCTGCAGCCTGCAAAGCTGCTCAGATCACACGCGAGACAAAGTTCAGCAGTCCTTTCTCCATCGAGTCCCTCCTGAAGAGAGACGCTCCCTCGGCTCGGCCCTCCAGACCTTCTCCTCTCTCCAGTGTGCCGCTCAGGACAAAGAGGAGCCTCAACTGGGACTCTGAGGAGCATCTCCTCCTTCAGACTCCAGCTGGAAGTTCCCTCATCTGCTCAACAGGAGGCAGCACACACCATGAACTCGCTGCTAAGAGGATGCATGTGAGCACAGAGCCTTCATTCCCCATGTACACAAGAGCTGCTCCTTATTTCAGCAGCACACACAGCAGTTACATCACTTACTCTCTTCCAGCATTTACCCACGATGCTCTCTGTTTTCGCTTGTGACAGTGTTCCCTTCATTAAAATTGCACTTTTGTGTGTTTTTTATGTTTTTGAGTGGAACACTGAGAATCTTCTATTTGATCAGACACACACCCTCAAATCACACAAGGCTCATGAATGGTCTCATGTGTGTCTCGTTGTTAAATATCTCTTATTTCAGGCATTACTGTGATGTTTAAAAGAAGATCCTACTGTCGCCTGAAGTATCTTGTTCAACAGACTAACAGTGTAAAGTGATTTTTTTGAGGATATTTTATATATTTTTTTAAAACATTGTTTTTGTTTGAGAGCTGAAGCAGTAGTCATCACACTGATTAAATGATTAAAGGTGCTTTTTCTACTTCCTGGCACTTTGTCCAACTCTGTCATATTCAGATTACTAGTTTACTATTTGGTCTGAAGGGGATGTGACAGTAGCATGTAAAACAGGTCAGGCTGTTTTTAAAGCTGCCACAGATTGTCGAAGACGCACACGAACTTGTTAAATTTGAACATTTGCACCTTCTGAGTCTTTCCCCCGAGGCCCCGTTTAGTGGGGGGGGGGGCATAATACAAAGTTGACTGACCACAGTGGCGAGGTTGAGCTGAGCAAATATGTAATCTATGAAATCTGTTTGCTTTTCTATTCGCAGGTCATCTGAGGCACAGGTCTGGTCTAAACTGTAACCTAATTAAGTTCATTTGGACATAGTTTTCTACATTTCACATTACATGTCTGCACACTGCAGGTCTACTGATTGAAGAAAGAGGTATTATCTGTGGCATTTCACTGTGCAGTACAATGCAGCTTCAAACCCACTGAGTGGACTATAAAGGGTGGAGTCACTCATTTACTAATGTAGCATTCATGCATATCTGATTTAGTACGAGAACAAAGGCCAAGAGTCAGGGATTATGGGAAAAAGGCAACCCATATGTACGTTTGCTTATAATGTGCAATGTTCTATAGTGTTCTGACACAGTACAAACACAGCACAAAGTTCAACCGTCACTGCTGTTAAGTCAAAACACATGAATACAGCACAGGACAGAACAAGTGGTAATTTATGGCCCAGCCCTCATACACAGGCTTAGTAGCAAGAAATACTGGAAATAATATGCAAATACAAAGGATTACCTACCAATGAAAAATTCATACGTGCATCCTAGTAAACATGCTTTAGCAATGATAATGGAGCCTGTCCACCGTCCTAAATCTCTTTCACCCATGTCTAATTGGTAAATTGGCTTTAAACTCATGTTCAAATTTAATTATCAGAAGAACGTTTCTGTTACAAGGTTTGATTTTATTGCGGCTGTTTGTCAACACTCTCGAGGTATGAAGCGGATCATTTTAAAAATGTGCGGTCATGGCTAGATATTGGTTTTCATGCATTTTACCCCCTTGAACTTTATTATAGTGAGGAATTTCTCAGATAATATCAGAGCATGTGAGTCGAAAGCGCATTGAGGGGGGTCTGTCATGAGACGGGAGCTTGGCCCAGCTGACTGAAGGCGAGGACGAGGAGTTGGGTGAGCTCAGCATTTGGCAGCCTATGCCCACGACATACTTCCACCCTGGGGGATTACTGGTGGCCGACCTAGATTACAACGCAGCCCTCCTGCCTTCCATCTTTATTTTTTTTGTTTCCCTCCCTCTCTCCCTCCCTCATTGCATTGACTGGTCAACAGAGATTACACTCAGCAAGCCTGGCAGTCAGACAAAATGGCTCAGCATGTGACTGAATGAATGACACATTGAGGGACTGGGGACAAAAAAGAAAAACTTTCTTTTCTTCTTTTCACTGTTTCTTTCCCCCCCTCTTCTCTAATATATTCCCTGTTCTGGGTCATTTACAGATTGTCTTTCACTCCCCCAGAACACAATATGGTTAGTTCAGGCCTTCCTATGGATAGAATACACTTTTCTTATAAAAATCTGTACTGCACACATTTCTGTGTATTAATGATCAAATGATTCCAGGAGATTGAGGCTGGTGACTTTGTCTGATTGCACAGTCACAGGAAACTCAAGCTTGACTGTCTCTCTATGGATCAGCTTGTTCGTATTTACTGATTGAGCAAACTCATTCAAGCATCAATCTCCCTGAATGCTTCATACTGTCCATACAATACTCTCTGTGCTATTTACCATATTGCTCTGGATGCTACAGATTTCCTGACGTTACTCTATGCAAGTGTGTCTGGACCTGGATAACAGGTCGGTCACATGGCCTCTACCGCTCTGTCCTTGCCACAGAATAAAAAACATCTCCTTTCTGAAAAGAATAAACCAAACTGATGACAGGGTCAGTAGAACTGTGCACAGTCAAATTTAGGTGATTTGTTACAGTAACAAGGGTACTTAACCTCTCAGCATGACCCACTGAGCGGTTGTGTGTGTGTGTTTTGCAAGCTAATCTCTAGGCAGTTGCTCTGCAGCTTGTTTACATGTAGGCTCGGAGACACCATGGGAGCCTGCTGGACTGAGGGCAAAAACACTATTTTTAGCTCTTGACTTCTATTTCCTTCCATTTGTCAGTGACACCTCAGCAGTAAATACAAATATCTCACTGCCATTATGACATAATATTTACTCTTTGCTATGGGGCAGTTATATACGTTTATCAGTAAAATGTCCTTAAAGAATAAAAAAATCAAACCCCTGTCAGTCTTATCATGTCATTTTTATTTAGTAATTGTCATGTACCTGATTGGACATTTTGTGTGCAATGTCTTAACATGCATTTTATATGTCAATGTGTGAGTATGATGTACATTGATGTTTTAAATCCATCTGAAGTGTCTTTAAACATTGTTAAAAGCACCATATAAATCAAATGTATTATGATTAGCACTATTATCAACCTACTCGCTGACCATAGTAACTGTGGCTGCCATATAAATGTATTGTATGTAAAGTAAAGTAAAATTAAATGAAACTTGAAATATTAATATAAACTAGTATCTTTAAAGTTATATGTCATTTAGAAATTATTTTCTACCCAGTAAGATTACTGGTGACACCATGATAAATTCCATACAGTAAGTTTATACAACAGCCTACCTGTTAACTACTAGAAGTGTTTTATGTTAGACAGATTTTAAACTACTGCCTTTCTTCGTTTTTCAAACTTCTTATTACTATTTTAATTGTTTCCTAAAGATGTTTTTCAATAATTCTGTGCCTCTGTTTTCTGCCTGATTTTTATTTCATTTCTAATTAGTCTTTTATATGTCATTTCAATGCCTCCTTCATGTAGCAGCCTGAGTGGCCTGGCGTCTGAATGGTGCAATATTTAGCCCTAATCCAGAGAAACACAAAAAAACACATGAGCACTGATTCAAAAAGTTTACAAATGATACAAAAATGAAAGAATAAAAAATTCAGAAAGGGGAACTGTGCTGTATATTTAAACTTGTTGGCATGTTTCACTCCTGACTGTGTCCTAAAGGTGCGGCCCTGTGACGTCAGAGAATAAACACGCGCTACGTTGACTTCCGGGCGGAACAACAACAACAGTCGCTCCAGTCACGTCGCGCTCGTCCTGCTCGTCCTGGCCCCGCCCACAACAGCTTCTTCATCCTCAACCCGCTGGCTCATCAGCCTGAGGGCCGTGATGCGTTCAAGTGCTGCTGAAAAACACACCCATCAAATAATAAGGTACTAATGGTTCGTTTGTTTGATTCCACTCTGTGCTGGACTAACTTAACATATATCATAACCTATATGAATGTGGTAATATTCACCTGTTAACAAAGAGAAAATATATGTAAAAAAAATGATTCACACTTTAAATATGCTATGCACTTTAAATACACCTGAAGTATATGAAGTGAAGTGTTTACAAAATATTGTCAGAGAAAATAATGCTGTTGAGTAAAAGTTGTGCACTTTTATTGAAATTACATAATGAATGCACAACGTTTACTTCATTTACCAGTAAAACAACTGAAGTTACATAAAACACATTGTTTTTAATTGGAAAGTGGTTGAAAAGCGTTGGTGATTAAATCTACGTCACTTGTGGTTATTTATGTAACGAAATGAACAGGACATATCAGTACAAACAATGCTGCCTGAGAGCTCTTTTTTTAAATATTATTTTTAAGAGCAGTGCAGAAAATGAATGACCTTTGATTTACAACAGTGACATTGTGGGATTCTGATGCTTGATCCTGAGGAGTGTGTTGTTTCTTTATCCTCACACAGAGGTTAAAAAATCATTAACAGTGAAGTTGGGCCTTCAACTAATTTTCCAACAACACAGACACTGAAGCAACGCAGCAGTGCTGCAATATTATGTCCAACTTTTCCCAAAACAAATCGTCAATCATTGATATAAAATGTGGCACAGTTTATTCACGCCTGTGAACAGAGATCTGGTTAATCAGCAGTAAATCTCTATTCGTCATGAATGAATAACTCTGAGGATGTACAGTCAGTCAACGTCCTCCACGGAACATGTTTATCCTCAGATTTCTCTCAATGTGGTAGTTTGACATTTTTGGAAATAATTGTATGCACTTTAATGCAGAGAATTAGATAAACAAGAACCCCTCTTATTTGTTGTGTTTTAAATACATCGCCACAGTCAGCAGTCTAACTGTTAGGGGCGCAGCACAAAACTTCACGGCCCTGTGCATATTCAGTCTCGGTTGGGCCCATTTAGCATTCAAGACATACATTGTAATACCTGTGCAGAAAGTGAATCTATAATGAAACATGTGCATCTCCAAAGTCTGAAAGCTGGTTCCCAACAACATAACTGCTTCAAATTTCACTTGAGGTCCTCAGTGTTTTGAGGTTACCTGTGGGAAACTGTGGACAATGTGGAAATTGTTACCTCTACCAAGGAGTTATACATGTTTTTTGAATTGTGTTAGTTAGTCAGCAGGATTATGAAAAAACTATCAATGATATTTTGTGGAGGGGTTGTACATGGCCTGGGGAAGAACTCATTAAATTTTGGAGCAGATCTGATCAAATGGGCAGATGCAGAAATTCCCTTTCTCAAACTCTTACTTCTTCTTAATGAAACTGTGGCAGGAAAAACTTACTTACTTACTTCCAGTGCTGATAATGTAAAATTTCAAAACTGCAATTTAGACATCGTTGAGACTTCGAGTGTTTTTTACTCTTTTTACCCTCTAGGTTTTTCAGAGACAGTGAATAATAAGCTCTTTTATTCTTTTTTCATTCATGCTCATCGTGCTGTGTGTGACTTGCCATTCTTAAATCCACTCATTTTCTCTTATCCACTACATACAACTCCT